TCCAGCCAGACAGGAGCAAGCACTGTCCAGTCTCACTCCTCAGGAGCCCAGTACTATCATTCAGTTCACCTACACCTCCAATGCACAGATGTACAGCATCCTGAAGAGAACAGCAGCCAAGTGCTCTCATATCTCCCACGTCTACAGCATCGGACGAAGCACAGAGGGCAGGGATCTACTGGTGATTGAGTTCACCAACAACCCAGGACAACATGAGCTATGTGAGTAAGGAAGGTTAATGCAAATGTATGATGTTATACATACAGCATTGCTATTTGTGATCTTATCAGCGAATAGCACCTCCTATCAGCTCTGCAGGGTTTTACCATTATTTAGCTTGATGTCTTAAATGCAAGATCCCTTACTCATCTTTATTTGTTTGGCTTTATATTAGCCCTCTTAAAATTGTTTTTAGCTTTAGATTTTCTACACTAAATATATATTCTCAATATAGTGTCAGCTAACAAGCCAGGTGCTTTCTTTAAAAGTAGATAATTGACACAAACATACCTGAAAGGTTATTTTGACCCCCTCCCCTCTTAGGTTGTTTAAACACACACACAGTTATTAAATTCATCAGAACAACTACCTAAATACATAATTTGATTTGTGTTTATTGCTTGTTTTGCTCAAAATGGCAAAAGTTTAAAAAAATAAATAAGAGAATGCAGATTTAATGATTTGCACTTCTGTCCATGAACTGTAGTAAAGCCAGAGATCAAGTTGGTGGGCAACATGCATGGCAACGAAGTGCTGGGCCGCCAGCTGCTCATCTATTTGGCCCAGTACCTGTGTTCGGAATATATCCTGGGAAACCAAAGAATTCAGACCATCATCAACACCACTCGCATCCATATTCTAGCCTCCATGAACCCCGATGGCTATGAGCTAGCTGCCTCAGAGGTAGAGGATAACAATGACCCGGAGCTCATCAACCATGAAGTAAATATTGTTAACAGAAAAAAGGCAAACTGTCATTATCCGATCTGAATTTATTGATTGATCTTGGTCTATTTAGTCTGCTCAGCTTCAGGTGTGAAGGTGGAAGAGTGGGTCAATCTGCTAAGAACAGCTGATGCACAGAGCTTTTCAATGTGGATTGTGGACTGTGAAATTTGAAACCTAAGAGGAAACTTTTAACTATTTAATACATAACTGTGTAAGCACAGAAGCTCTACGAAATGACTCCAGGCTTCCACCTCCTACCT